GCCCGAGCCCGAGCCCGAGCCGGAGTCGGGCTGAGGCGGAGGCGGCCCCGCCCCGGGGCTCCATTGTTGCAGCGGCCGCGGCTCCTCCGGCTGCTTGGCTCTGTTTCGTTCGGCCCCGAGCGAGTGCCGCCGAGGCGGTGGCCTGAGGTGAGGCGGCGGCGGCGGCGGGGCCGGGCCGGACCGAGACCGGGACGGGCAGGGTTCCGGGGTCGGGCGAGGGGCTAGGGCTGGTGTGGGTCCAGGGCCTGGACGGGGGTCTCGGGGCCGGACGGGGTCCGGGGCTGGCGAGGGGCCAGCACCTGTGTGGGTCCAGCGGCTGGACGGGGGTCCCGGAGACGGACGGGGTCGAGGGGCTGGACAGGAGTCTCAGGGCCGGGTGGGGGTCCTGGGGCTGAACAGGGTCCTGGCAGTCAGGGTTCCGGGGCCGGGGGAGGGACCAGGGCCGGTGGGGGTCCAGGAGCTGGACGGGGGTCCCAGGGCCGATCGGCCGGGCTGGGCCTGGCGGAGGTCCCAGGTGGCTGGAGTCCCGGGCCGGCGGGGGTCTCGAGTTGGGCGAGGTTCTCGGCCGGGTGGGGGTCCGCGGACCCGACTGGGGTTTCAGGGCTAGGTGGAGGTCCAGGGGTTGGACGGAGTCCCAGGCGGCAGGGGTCCCGGGGCTGGGCGAGGGTCCTGGGTCGGTGGAGGTCCCAGGCGGCAGGGATCCGGGGGCGGCGGGGGTCCTAGGGCCGGGTGTGGCAGGTCCAAGCGGGGCCACCGCGGGGTCGCTGCCAGAGGTGGCGGCCGCCGCCCTGAGCGCTAGGAGGATGGGGACCAGGACTGACCTGGCCGTCGCGCATCTGGGCGCCCCGGCATTGTCTCCGCCTTGGGGGGCATCGAGGGGGCTCCGCGCCTGCTGCGACCCTCTGTGGACCCGCGCGTAAATGCGCGCGCCGGGGTTCTGAGCAGAGTGGGGACACTGTCTCGGTCCCCGCTCCCCTTACGGCTTGGCTGGTTCGGTGTGTCTATGAAGGTAGCTCTGCGTGGGCCCTTGCGCGTGGGGAATCCCAGACAGCCTGCCAGTGGGAGAGACTGTTTCTGTCTTCCCTCCCCCCATGGTGTGACCGGGTTACTGTGTCTCATTGAGGATGACTGCATGGACTCTGATCGTGGGGGTCCTGCTCACCCTGAGAGTGAGAGACTCTTTCTCTCGCTACCCACCCCCATGACCGGTTAAATGAATGCGTTGCCAACGCGGGCTCCTGGTGTCCTGGCACCAGCGAGTTGGGAGACTCTGCCCCTGTCCCTCCCCCGTCTGGGGGCTTGTAGGGGTGTGATCCCACCACCACCACCCCAGCGCGTGCGCCTTGGTCTGTGTGGTGAGGAGGTCCTTGTGCGGGTAGGGGAGCCTGGCCGGGTGTAGCGGGGTTGTGCACCAGGGGCGCAGTTGGCCTGGTTAGCTGACTCGCTCTTTTATTGTTTATTGTTTTTTTTTTTGTTTTTTTTTTTTGCCAAATGAGCAGAAAGGGGAGCGGCATCTCACGGCTGCCCTTCTCCGGGAACCCACCCCTCTCCGTGGCCCGGGTCCCGCGGGAACGCGGGCTGTCACCTTGCCGGACCCCTCGTCAGGCCGCCCCGTTTCCTGCTCCAGCGCGAGAGCTGGCTCTGATTGGAGGGAGCTGAGCCCCTCTGCTTGGTGCTCCTTGATTTCTTCCGTTAGGATTGGGAAGAAAAAAAATCTTTAAAGCCAGATTTAACTTTGCAGCGCTCAGCGCCTGGAGAGTGGAAGAAACTCTCTTGGCGGGCTGGAAAATGCATTTGAAGGAGGAGAATCCACACCCACGGAATGAGGCCAAAGCAGTTACAGTTAGAGGTCAGGTTGACAAAGGGATAGGGAGGGTGAGGTTGTGGGTGGAGAAACTCAGATTTCAGCCTGATGTCAAGACTTGATGCTACCTTGCGGGCTCTGTATCTTTCAGCCACTTAAATAAAGTGGAAATACCTACAATGTCCCAAGGATAATTCTCTTCTCTGGGGGATGCAAAGTTGAACAAGACAGTCTTTTCCTTTTAGGAGTGTTTTGTTCTGGTCCAAGGCAGAAGACTGAGGCATAAGCAGAAGTCGTTCTAATATCCAAACTGAAATTCTTTGTGAACAAGATGGTGTATAAATAACAGGAGGACAGGACGAAAATGTGGTAATAATGCAGTTGTTGCTCTTATACAGTCCAAACTCTGCATGCAGACCCCTCTCCCCCACCTGCAGCTCCTCTTACCCATTCTTCCCTGTCAGTTTAGGTGACTCCTCCTCCTGGAAGCCTTCCCTGAATCCTATGTCCTGCCCTCTAGAGCTGAGGTCTTCTAGGACAGAGCGGTGAGCTGTAGTATGGTGTGATAAATGCTCTGATGGAGATGCGCACAGTTTGTATCCAGAGCTGAGAAGAGGCGTATTTAAATGGGAGGTTTTTTTTTTTTTCCTGTACCATGGTTCCAGATATTTCATGTGATTTATTTCTTCACAATTCTGCAATTTTTCAACTCTCCCAAGGGTTTTTAGAATAATACTTGCTGTTACTTCCTAGTGTTTGCTGCACGAGTGAGTATAGGGTACTTGATTAGCATTCATTCGGTCTACTTCTGCCTCCAGAATTAAGTTACTGCTTGTTCCGGCAAAGCTACCCCTTCTGGGCTTGACTTTCTTCACCTTTGAGAGTCTTAACACGGGGGAAGAATCTTCTTAGTCCTAAACCTTTAATTCTTTTAACCAAATAGAGCAGAGGAAAGCTCTCTTAGCACAAGTGGAGATCTTTAAAAATACAGATTCGAAAGTGGCAGTTCTTCTCTTTTTCTTCAAAAAGTTTAGGTGCATGGGTGTATCCTTTGTCTCAGATTTAAGGACAGGAGTCTATGAAGGAGACTGAAGCAACATTTTGATATTGGCTTGCATATTCTTTATAGTTATGTTGTCCTTGCAACATCTGCATCTTATCAGATTGGTTTGATGTTTTCCTTAATGAAGTCCTTGGGTGCAGAACTCTTGTCTGGAGCATTTCGTTGATCTTTTGAGTGTCATATGAAGGCGGCCAACTGTAGGCTTCTGTATGTCCCAGTCTCTCACAGAGATTTTAATTTGGGGAGTCTGAAATAAGTGGAATTTGGAGAGTGCCTTGAGTAGGTGCGTGTGACTTTATATAATGGCTTAAAGCACAGTTTAAAATTGCTGCTTGCAAAAAATTATCTCCAATGTTGAATGGCCTGTAAGGAAACTCCAAGTCTAAGGAATATAGTAATTAATCCTTTAAACTATTAATCTCCTCTCCAATTTATCTGTTTAGTAAAATGGGAATTTGGTGTGCTTGATTTCCTGAAAGCCACATGTCTGTCTATAGAAAGGATACATAGTTTTCTCTGCTAGTCTTCTTTGGGGATTAAAAATAGGATAAACCGGGATTAAAAATAGGATAAGCCGTCTGGTAGCGATGCCAGTGAATTAGGATTTTCACTTAACTCAGTAGGAGTTTTGTCCTTTTTTTGTTTTGCATCCTTTCCTAATTAAAAAGAAAGTGCTTTGTTACATACTACATGTGGTTTGTTAGTGATTTTATTTTAGGAAGGGCCTTCGGAAACTCATCTGGATCTTCTTTGTGGTTTTCTTAGGATGTATTGATATTCTCACTGAAACTTAACTAGTTAATGCTTATTCTGTGTCGAGATGACCATTTCATTCATAGACGGCTGGATCTTTATATGGATCCAATGAAAAGGAGTCTCCCATGGAATGGAATGCCTGGGGTTAGAGATGGTAGAGTTTGGACTCTGCATTTCAAAGTTGTCCTCTCTTGTTCTTTACTGAAGGAAGAGAGGACCCCTCACTCCCACTCAGGGGCCCAAACACAAAGCCTCATTCACCCTGCTTTCAAGGACTGATGGTGCTTCCTTTTTTTTTTTTTTGAGATTACGATGTTCTATAAATCACCTTTTTCTTTTACGTATTATATGCCTCAAAGTCAGTCTTTGGTGTTCAAGCCTAACCTCCACCCCAAACCCCATATCACCCACCAAATGGATTTTCTTCTCTCTTTTTAAAGTCCTCACCATGTATGTGCCTGTTATTGCAGGCTACCTCACTCAAGATCTTTTTATGTTGGCAGGATGTAAAGACAAGTGACACAGTGAAGACTACTTCCTTTGGTTCTCTTGGACAGGAGACATGGAACTAGAGACTCGGTCCTAGTAAGGCTTTCGTGAAGTCCAAGTGCGTCTTTGGACTTCAGCTCCCTCAGCTGTAAAATGGAGTTAGCTGTTCATTATGCCTCTTCCATGTAGCTCAAGAGGTTGTCCTGGGGACGCAATGAAATCAGGGAAGTAATGCAATTTGTAAGTTGTAAAATATGATGTTGCCAAGGATTTTCAAAAAAATTACTTCATTAACACTTTAGTGAATCCAGGTTGTTCTTCAAATCTCTAAATGTTTAACGTACAGATGGCCCTTAGTACGAGCTGTGTCAGGCAAGTTCATTTAGGATTTTTACCTTTAATTGGCCAGTGCTGTTTGATACTTCAGCATTGTGGGGAAACATCATGTTGAGTCACCACTAATCCTTTGTAAGCAAGATGATGGCGTGTGTATAACGTAGCCTTTAACTGTCTCTTCAGGCTCGTGCGATCCCATGGATGCTCCTTTCACGAAGCACACTTTCCTGACATTTCAGTTCCTGAGTGACCTGTTTTGCTGTAGGAAAAGGCAATAGGCAGTCTGAGGTCAAGGTCAGCAAGCACTCGCCGGTTCACATCGGAGCTACCCAGCACGAGGGGGCAGTGGGCATCAGCTCCAGGGTTTCTCGGGCCTTCCCCTCCACAGGCCAGCCTGCTCCGGAGACTGCAGTACTTCCCAGTGTCTCTTTCTCTCCCTCCTGCCTTTTCTTTCTCTCTACCCACTGCTCAGTGCCTCTGAGCTCCCCCCACCTCCCAGTGGGAGGGATACAATGGCTAATAAAACACAGCACTAGTCCTCAAAGAATCTACCTTTTATACACAGATATTAAATTATACTGTCACGCAGCTCAACAAACCTTTATACAGGTTACCTGCGACGTGCCCAAATCCTATGGTAGATGTGGACATATGAGGTGGGACTCCGTGACTCCTGCGTGAAGGGCGGGGGGCTCCGTG